TATATATATATATATACATATATATATATATATTATATATGATGCAAATATTAATATTATATATGTCAATATTTTTGTTTTTAGAACGATCGCTCTGATAACGTTGTTTTCTCAATACATTTATGGCTTCAATGTACCTTGCCCAAGCTTTTCATCATCTGAGAAAAAGTGTGGAATTAAAAAATCTCCAATTTTCAAACTATTGCCGGTGAGCTATAGCGTTAATGATTATTTTTTTATTAGTCGTAATAAAAAGTTAAATAAAATTTATGAATCGCATTATGAATACTAATTATTTATCTTAGCATACTAAAGTAGACTACCGTATGTCTCTGTTGCTACTTATAGTTTGTTATTTTTACACTCTCATTGGCCTACTACATTATATAATAATTTGTGTGGTAAGTCACTACGTGTGCGTAAGATTGAAAGCATAATATAATTTAGCAGGCATTTTTGATGAATGCATATGTAATGCTATCTCAATCATTTTATTTAGGTTATCCTTGGTATAGCGCTAGCATGGCTGATTTCATCGATCTTAACGGCTGCCGGAGTATTTCCTGAAGGTCATGGTGCACGGACCGACGCACGAATAGAGGTCCTTAAGGAATCTGCCTGGTTCCGTTTTCCTTACCCAGGTATTATTATGTTTTTATTAATACGAATGTCCTAAAATCATTGTGTTCTAGATTAGACCAGAGGACATGCTAGGGAGGGTAGACTTGACATGATCACAAAATGCATTCTTAGAAGCGTCATAAAATCTGAATCAAATCAAATAAACATTTTTTCTTCCAAATCAAACAATAGGGCCTATGAACATAGTATAGTATCAATATACTGAGAATAAATAATAACAATAATTGTGAAATAATTCATAACAACAAAATAAAGATAAGACACTAATTCGCACTACAATTCGAGACCACCTTATAAGTTTTGGGTGGTCTCGGGGTTCATTTTCCACTAAGAGTTAGTTTTGTGTTAAACTAGTGAAGATTTTTATTTGTTATTTGGTTCTTTGAAAAAATATCGTATCAGAGGGATCTCGGAATTAGATACATGCCTCGAATTGGAGGGTGCACTGTATTAAAATTATTCTGGTCGTTAATATTATTATTATTATTATTATTATTATTATTATTATTATTATTATTATTATTATTATTATTATTATTATTATTATTTGTTAGCATTATTATTATTATAAGTATATTAAGAGATTGAATAATTGAATGACTTCCCTGTGCAACCAAATGCGTCCTTGTACTTCAGTATCAAGGATTAGTGGGCGAGTAACTCGCCTCAAATGTGCAATAATGATATTACGCAAGAGGATTGAGAAAATACAAATCATAATTCACAAACCTCCTCAATTTAATTTAACTCACCGTGTTTTTTGTTTTTTTAAAAGTTTTTTTTTTTGGTTATTCATCCATATATATTTATATACATACACACACACACACACACACACCCACACACACACCCACCCATACCTGTAAACGTTATGTCCAGAGGACCCTGTCTAAAAACAGTCATCAGAGGACCGACCAAAGACCAGCAAAGTATGCCGAGAACCATAAATACGCTCAGGTTTATGCCATGGACACCGCCACACACATGTGCTCAACGTTTTCTGCATAGAGGGCGCTATTTATTTGCCCAACGCCACTCAAATAAAAGTGCGTAACGCGTTGTCACACATTTTCGAATTTTCCCTACAGACAAGGAACTTTACAGAAACTCTGTACAGAAATTCAGCACAATGCAGCACTAATGCTCCGAGGACAAATACACACACACACAC